ATGAAAAAGTTAGGAGTCTTTGGGTCTTACCCTTGGACGTTTCCGTTATTACTGTCTCTTTTCAGATGTCAAAGTCGACCGGTAACTTTTTGACGCTTGAAGAGGCCGTGCACAAGTTTTCGGCTGATGGTTAGTCATGTTCGAGTTCATTCTTTTCTATGTCGAAATTGACATTTAATAATTTTAAATAATTTAAGTAAATGTAATTAAAGTGAAGTTATGTAATTTAAGTTAAAAAATTCTAGAAATTTATTAAAAATTCTAGCGATTTGTTCGTTCACCGTTGTCTGTGTTATCATATAAGTTGTATTCAGATTTTGCCCATTTAATTAATTGCCATGCAACTTGCTAATAGCATGAGTTACATAACTTGACAGCTGCTTAAAGCCGCTAAAATCTGCTTTGTATTATGTCCCATGGTATCATCACGCCCTTGGCCTTTTAATTTACTGATACTTGTGAGGCATTTATCTTAAGTTGACCAGTGATTACAATTAGTGGGTATCCGAAAAGTTCACCGACTGCAATTCACCGATGGAAAGTTCACCGACAACAATTCAATGACAGGAAAATTCACCGATTTTACAGTTGATCGCCGATGATTTATTTATGATGATCATAAAACAGTATTATTTAGAAATAACATATTTGAAAGATTGGTTAATGAGCACGATAATTACCATGCTTCATCCTTATATAAAGCCTCAGAAAATTCATAGAGGTCAGTTTCGAAAAGTTCTTCGAGTGTGGTACTTTAGTTACGAATCTTCATCAACCGTCATGGCCTTCAGTTCGTCACGAGTGAAAAGGGAAGACAGTAACGTTTAGTGGAAGGTCACTTATTTTTCAAAGGAAAACAAGCTGACAAAACATAGGAAGTGTGAGATGTATCAGAAGCACAAGTGCTGGGTTCATGTAATAACAGTTGGAGATGCCATTGAGGCCATGAAGGGAGTTCGCAACCATATCGGGGATGCAGCTCATATAGAAGCTTTGGAGATGGAGGATATTGTACGTGACCATGCAATCAATAGCCAAGAAGCACCTGAATATATTATATCTAGTTGCGTCTGTGGGACTTACGCAAGATGCTGCAGAACATATTGCGAAGAATGACAGTATTAAAAGAACGATCCGAAACATCAGAATAAGGAAACAAGCAGCACCAGTTTTGCCTATAACCCGAGAGGAAATTGTATTTCCCGAGGAGTACAAGATATTTAAGGAAAGTGAATCGTTCTTGTTATTTGATTCAGAACCTACGGAAGATGGAATTGTTATATTTTCCACCGATCTTCGATTACTGGTCTCATCTGAGCATTGGTTGGGGACGAAACTTTTAAAATAGTGCCTCATTTGTTTTACCAGTTCTGTACCCTCCGTGGTATTCAGGTGAACAATTCAATTCCGTGTTTGCATGCTCTACAACCAGACAAGATAGAGGCCACATATGTTAGATTATTCAAAAAGTAAAACAGCTTCAACCAGATACCTCCCCAGAAAAAATTATGGCCGATTTCTAACCTGCCATAGGCAGTGCTATTCGTTAAGAATTTCCAAGGGCTAGACATCGAGGATGTTTCTTCCACTTCTCGCAGTGTATACTCCGAAGGATTCAGGCAGAGGATCTTCAGTGAAGGTACGTAACTGACTTTGAATTTGCAATGAAAAGGCGATTGTTTTCTGCTTTGGCCTTTGTCCCAACAGAAGATGTGGTAGAAGCGTTTTAGGTTGTTAGCTGTAGCGGTGATAACATGTCTGAAGAAGCGCAACTCTTGATTACTTTGAGGACTGCTGGATTGGGCATCCTCAACGACGCATGAGACACCGAATGCGGCGCTTCTCCCTACAAATGTGGAACTGGCACGAAGGAGTAAGACATCGTCTTCCGAAGTCTAATAATGCAATTGAAGGGTGGCATCGTGGATTCGAAATACAAATATCTGTGCAACACCTTAATATCCGGAGGTTTATTAAAACGATTTGGCGTGAGCAGAGCATCAGAACATTGCAAATTGAACAATATGTGAGTGACCAACAAGGTAGCCGTAGGAAATATAGGGATTGTGTTGAGACTTTTCAGAGTAGCTGCGAATTATGACAGAGGTAATGTTTTAGAGTTTTTGAGAGGGTGTGGCACATAATAATTACTAATTAGATATTGCGTGTAAATAATGTTTCAGAAGTTTTCTTCCGTTAAAATCATTCCAGTGAAATCTGTTTTATTCGATATTTAGAGGTGCATACATTATCATTTTCAGGCAAATTAATTCAGAATCAACAGATTTCAGTTTTAAGAAATATTAACAATACTTTATGATATGAAATAAATTGATTTTTTTACGTTTCATGGTTTTTAATAAATAAATCATCGGTGATCAATTGTAGAGTCGGTGAATTTTCCGTTTGACGAATTGCTTGTCGGTGAACTTTTCCGGCCGATGAATTGTTGTCAGTGATTTTTCCGTCAGTGAATTGCAGTCGGTGAACTTTCCTAGATCCAAGTTAGTGATTAAATTGATTAAGTAATCTTTGAGACGAATGAATCGTTTCCTGTTCCTCCTGCTATTTATATTTCGCGATCCACCGAAGCGAATTTTATGATAAATGGTAGCTATATCATGTTTATGTTTGAACCGGCGACCAGTTCTACTCCAGAAATCCAACACTGACTTGAGTGTTGGCAAAGACTAATGTGTAAGAATGATTGTATATGGTTTTCCTCTAATGGGAGCTGTGAATGAGAAACGTTGTTATGAATCGCATAAGATTTGACTCGAAGCACCGGTAATCAGCGGAGGCGGATAACCCGCATAACTCCTTTTAATAAATCTATACAGGAAAGTAACACTGACTAGAAATAAATGGAACAATTGATTGTTATCGCTCATAGTAATCTAGAATATTGCACAGATCTTTTCATCATGTGTTTAACTCTCTGTTTGCCACGTTGTTACGTTTTAGGCATGCGATTGGCGTTGGCCGATGCCGGGGATGGCATGGACGATGCGAATTTCGTAGAAACAGTGGCAGATGCAGGCGTTCTACGGTTGTTCAATTTTCTGCAGTGGGTCAAAGAAACGCTGACAGAATTGGATGGGCTTCGAACAGGGCCAATGTCATTTTTTGCCGATCGCGTATTCAGCAATGACATGAACCGATGCATTAAGGAGAGCGCCAAAAACTACGAGAAACTTCTGTTCAAGGAGGCGGTTAAAACAGCCTTTTTTGAATATCAGGTGAAAACTAAGTGTTTTTATTTATTATTGACATGCTTTGCACGGAGTACCTGATATCCCTTAGTTTTACTGAAGAAGGAATACCGTGACTGAATTTGAAACTCAATCCAATATCAAAAGAGAAAATTTTAATAATGAAAACTGTTTAGCGTCTTAAGCTAAGAACAGTGCATATGTTGTTTTGTCACTTCCAAAGCAGTGAAATGGCGTATATGCATATGCATAGGCTTTACTGTTTTTGTTGAATTAATCAATCGAAGCTGTTTAGCATCTGCAATGTCTGATGAAATTAATGGTGTCTTATTACTTAACCCTTTCTTGTTATGACTGAAATTCAGCTTATGCACATCGACCAATCAGCGAAGTGAATTGGGCGGTTTCTTCCTTGTCGTCGTGCATTTTCTCAAAAATCGTCCTCTGTAGTGGAGTGCATATGCGTTTGGGTATATATATATATATGCGTGGTTGTCAGGAGGTGTTCTTCTGTTAGGTTCACAGAACAAATTAATTCATGACTGATTAAAGGCGTTTACATAATTCAAAATTTTCCGGACTCGTTTTTGTTAAAAAATAAAATAGTTAATTATTAATATTGTTATTAAAAATAGGTAAATAACTGCGATGAAACAATTCGATTCCTTCGGGTGCACTTATCAGGAGAAAGGGAAACATGGATGTTGCTGAGATGTTACCAACGCGTACCAATGAA